CTGCCAACCCTGAACAGGCCGATTCTATGATCAAAACTAAGTAAAAAAGTTCATATGAACATGGGTCCGGANGAATTCGGAACACACCAGGAATTTTTGAGCGAGTGAGGCAGTCCATGACAAGACGAGCTCAACAATGCATTGGTGTTCATGGAGGTCATTTTGAACATCTCCTTTAAGTTCATTTACTGTTGTTGTAGTTTTCATTATTTGTTACTCATTTAAAATAAATAAAAAAACGTTATTTATCAGACCAAGATTAAAGTATCCATAACTCAGAAACGAATCATTTTAGAGCAGATGTGTATAGCCAGCCCACCTTTTTTGTTACACCCTGTATATTTGGTTGTATGCAGTATGGGACACATTCAACCATTGGTTGAACGAATATTTCTGTACTGGAAATGTACAATCTAAACCCTGCACAAATTTTTAACATTGACGAAACCGACGCCACAACAGTTAAAGTTGTTTCTGCAAACGGGAAGAAGCAAGTAAGCTTGGCCGCTTCAGCTGAAAAAGGCGATTTAACGACTTTTGTGGGAATTATTAACGCCATTGAAGTCGCATTACCTCTGTGTATGTGTTTCCAAGAATCCGGCATCCAGATGAATACCTAGTAGTCCTACATCAAGCACTGCCCTAGGTAACAGCAGTGGCTTTATGACTGCTGAATTATTTCCTAGAGTTTTGGAACACATTAAAAATCACACCTAATGTTCAAAGTAGAATAGGATATTATTTCTATTGTATAACTATGAATTCCACACAACGGTAGATGTCATACATTTTTGTCGATATAACGGTGCTTTCCTTTTCCACACACTATAAACTCCAACCTTTGGATGTAGGAGTTCAAAACCTATTGCTCTGTTGCCTTTAACGACTGGATGACCTCAAATCCTCGAAAAAACATTACCATTGAAGAAATAATTCATTTAACTGAGGTTGCCTTTAGAAGTGCTTTGGCTCAAAAAAATATAACCAAATCATTTCAAAATCCGGGGTTGTGACCTGTTAATAGACTCGCATTTAATGAAGAAGAATTTATATCTAGTTATCAGAAAATGTCTGATAAGGATGAATCATATAATACGAGCCCAGGCTCATAATAGTTCGGCAGGTCAACGTTTTCAACTAAATACTTTAATAATCTATGTGTTATGCAGAAATAACAAAATATTTCTGAAAATCCCTTTAACTACAGTAAAATATAAACTTTTTAGTTACAAAAATGAACATTTTATTCAATACATATATCGACTAATGGTTACACAATAGAAAACTTTATCCGTCTCAGGGGTCATAAAAGTTCGGCCACTCTTTAATATTGAGTTACATCGCCTTTGTTCTTAATAACTGCTTTAATTCTGCTAGACATTGTATTTACTAACAAAGCACATTCTTCTGGTAGAATATTATCCCAAATATTCAGTACTGTGACTTTTAATTCAGGCACTGAACGTGCTGGATGTTTCCGAAGCTGTTTTTTCATATTGTGCCATAAGGTCTCAATAGGAGATAAATCTGGGCTGGAAGACGTCCATTTTAATACTGGTATTTGATGATTCTGCAACCACGTTTTAATAGTTTTTGCCGTATGACACGGTGCACCGCCTTGTTGGAATATGAAATGCCCTTCCGCCGTTTGACACATCTCAACAGATGGTAACAGACTCTCTTCCAGAATATCTCTGTACTTCTGCGCGTTAACAATTCCATCAACAAAATGCAGTTTACCAACACCTCTACCAGACATGCAACCCCAGACCATAACAGATGCTGGAAACTTTACTTTTTTGACTAAACAATCGCTATGATAGGCCTCTGAAGGTGTACGCAAAACCCGTTTTCGTGTGTCACCTACACAAACGTCAAATTTTGACTCATCGCTCCAAATTACGCTGTGCCATTGTTGATTCGTCCAATTTTTATGTTCTCGTGCCCATTTTAACCTGTTTCTCCTCTGCAGTTTTGTTAATTGAGGTTTTTCTTTTGCCTATTGGAAAAAAATAAAAAATTGCCAAGAATTTAAACAAGAAAAAAAA